TTTCCAGAAAAAAATATATTCCATATAAAAATATATAAACAAAATTCTTCAAACATTTAACATTTCTCTTGAGATTGATATATTAGGTTATGTCCATAATAAAGTATAACCAAACAAAGAAGGGGTCAACTGCGATATGGATTAAGATAAGAATAGAAATCAATGTATTATTATGAATTGGTTTATTCAAAGCTCAATGAATAATTAGTTATCAGAAAAATAAAAAATAAATGTGATGAATAGAATAAATATGTAAAAATAATATCATCCATTTCAAACACTTTAAATTTCATAATTAAATATTTTTAAATCGAAGTGGAAAAACAGAAAAAAAATTAGCTTTTCAGGATTGCGGTGAACGTGGATCGAACACGTGACCTTCAGATCTTCAGTCTGACGCTCTCCCAACTGAGCTATCCCCGCAACTTGTTTACGTGGTTGAATGTTAAATTAATAAATATCAACAAATTAAGGTTCGAATAGCCCAAGTCCATTAAAGCACGACACCGAACGAAGAGCCGAACTGTTTTTGTTTTCTTCAAATTTCGTTTCTTTTCTTTTCCTTTTCGTGGCTGACTTTTGACTTCACATCTAAGCATAAGCAAAGTAGCAAGCGAGAAACGGGAAAAGCGAAACGCAAAAGCGGTTGTTGAATTTGGATGTGGAATTTTCGCGTTCGAATTGGAGGGAGAGAGAGGAAAACAGGATTAGCATAACCGTAGAAGCAGGAGCAGAATCACGTTTCGATGGAGGCGGTGGCCGAGGGTCTATGGGGACTCGCGGAGTTCCACGAGACGAGAGGAGAAATTGGGAAAGCAGTGAAGTGCCTGGAAGCCATATGCCAAAGCGAGGTTTCGTTTTTCCCAATCGTTGAGGTCAAGACTCGTCTTCGCATTGCCACACTTCTCCTCCACCATTCGCACAACGTCAACCACGCCAAGTCCCACCTCGAACGTTCCGTTAGTCTTTTTCTCCCTCTCGCTTCTGTTAGTTTCCACTTCTTCAAATTCTTTGCTTATGGTATCTGTTTTGGTTTTTTTTTGCAGCAATTGCTTTTGAAGTCTATTCCGTCTTGCTTCGAATTGAAGTGCAGAGCGTATAGCTTGCTCAGCCAGTGTTACCATCTCCTCGGAGCTATTCCACCGCAGAAACAGGTCTTGCACAAGGGACTTGAGCTCACTGCATCTGTTGGATACGAGTACGTGTTCTCTTTCCTAGATCTTTCTCTCTGGTATTTTGAGTTTAGGTTTTAGTTTAGCTCATCTTAAACTAGTGGTTTGCACTTTGGACTTTGGAGAATGAAACGTAGTTGTAGGTTCAATGTTTGTTATTAGCGTGCTTGCTTCTTACCATAAATGGTTGTTGTCACTGCACTTTATTGTCTGATGATTTGCTTCACAGTTTGGACGATGCCCATCTGTTGTTGCCATTGCATTTGTTTGGACAAACTTCTTCTAGGAGAAGAAAAATGATGAAATGTGCTTATCCATAAATTGAAATTAGCTTGTAGTGATGTGGACTATGCTAGGTTTTGACTATGATGGGATTGCATTGGATGACTATAGGAAAGTTGCGGGTTTGATTATAACTGTTAGAATATTTATCATCATTATATTGTGTGTCTAGGGTTATCTTATTTATCATCGTTACAGGGTTATCTTATTTATCATCGTTACAGGGTTATCTTATTTATCATCGTGACAGGGTTATCTTATTTATCATCGTGACAGGGTTATCTTATTTATCATCGTTACAGGGTTATCTTATTTATCATGGTTACAGGGTTATCTTATTTATCATCATTATATTGTGTTAGGTTATAAGGTTACTCTATTTATCATGTATTTTGTATTAAACTTTCTTATATATACCATGAGAGTGAGATGGATCTTTTCAAGCCCTCTAAAAATATATTTTTCTTTTTCTAATATTAACAATAACAGTCCCTGAAATATAAACTCATTCCTGAATGGATATGGAATTTGTGTCTCATCTCCATCCCCTTTGGATGACAGGTATAATTGGCATCCATTCGTGTGTTTATTAAATATTTTTCTTACAAAAAGTAAGGATTGTAGTAAAAAATGTATTTATTAACAATTCAATGTTAAACTGACACATATTTTCTTTTGTTATAAATAATAAGGAAAAAGTTATAGTTGGATAAGTCTCAAAATAAATAACCAAATTAGCTAATAATGTTTTAGTAATTTAAAAAGAAACAATATATACATACTCATTCTATTTCTACATCCGATTTAAAAAGTTGGGTATTCACCTACCCATACCCGTGCCCATCAATTTGGATATTCTTGTCAACATCTGGATGGGTTTGGACAATACCATGGATATGAATTTATTTGTAATCTCTAATATTGCATGTTTTTGGATGGGAACTTGGTGGCTTTAATTAGTAAAACAAAATGTAGTTGCAAAGTTCAATACCAACGCAAAATTTTGAGCTATGGCATGAGGGGTGAATGATTTCTTATGGTTGAATTTTTTTTGGATAATCCTCAAGTGGAATGTGAAATACCTATAATTCTCTTTTGGGATAATAATAGGATATTTGTATTGCTCACAATTCAGTCCACGATGATACCAAACTCATAGAGATAGACCAATACAACTTCAAAGAAAAACTGGATAATGGTCTTATAACTGATTCCAATATCCCATTAGGGCTTCAAGTAGTAGATTTGTTTACGAAAGGTCTCCTTACAATGCGGTTTTATGATCTTACATTCAAGCTGCAAATGGTAAATATCTGTTCACCAGCTTGAAGGGGTGTTGAGATATGAGGAATTACTATTAATTATTGGGACTATGGAGATATAGTAGGGATGGGATGAATAATTATTAATTATTGTATTTGTTTCAATAATTTATTTCTAGAGTCAATCAGAATTTCTTCCCTATTTTAATCTCTTCCCTTACCTTTTTCAAGTCTGACTAAGGCTGCTACTACAACTACTGTCCCTACTGGTGCTACGTATTCATGGTGTCTAGTTTATTTTTTTGAAGGATTTCAATGAAGTTGTGGTCTTGCAACTTCAATTCACAGCTTGCAAATGCTTTATCTATTGAAGGGGACTACCAGGGTTCAATCTCTGCCTTAGAGTGTGGATATGTCTCTGCTACTGAAGTATGCTTGCCAGAGTTGCAGGTATGCTGTCAAAAAGTTACAAATTTACAACTTACGTGAAAAGACATGTTTTTTCTTCCTTCTCTTCGTTTGCCACCAATTAGTTGGTGAATTTCTATCTCTATTAGTTAGAACCTTCTGGAAGTTTGTTGTCTTTCACATCTATTGTGTGTTCAGCTATTAACTCTCTACTTTGCTAAAACAAAGGGCACTCCATTATGAGTTTAATATAATATTGCCCATCAGGTCTGTTGTGTAATTTCTTGTTTTATGACAATGGAGCAGATGTTTTTTGCCACTTCAATATTGCATGTCCGACTCATGCAATGGGATGATGATAATTTGGTAGAGCAAGCTGTTAATAAATGCAACGAGATTTGGGAGTTAATCGATCTTCATAAAGTGAGTGCAAATGTTCTTTCGCTTCTTACTTTTTTAGTTTTCTTTGTGCAGAGAATGCACAACTGTAGAGACTGCATGTTTTTAAGTGAGATATATCATGATTTTTTTATACCTTTGCTCTAATTTATTTTCTCTCTTGCATCCTAATACTTCTCAGCGACGACAATGCCCTGGCTTACTATTTTATAACGAATTACTTCACATATTCTACCGATTGCGACTATGTGATTACAAGAATGCTGCACCTCATGTAGACAATCTGGATGCTGCCATGAAGTTTGATATGCAGCAAACACAGCAAATACAGGAGCTAGTGAAGGAGCTTGAAGTTCTAGATCAAAGTCTCTCACGGTCTGACCTTCACTACAGGGATATGACAGCATTATCTAGAAAGCAAACAATGATTAAGGAGCAACTCAGCAGCATGACTGGATTGAATTTAATTGGGCAGGAATCACTGCAACCAGTTTATTTTGGGAATGTCAGAAGGACTATAGGAGATAAGCTTCAATTAGCTCCTCCTCCCATTGATGGTGAATGGCTTCCTAAAAGTGCTGTCTATGCATTAGTTGATCTAATAGTTGTTGTATTTGGTCGCCCAAAGGGACTTTTTAAGGAATGTGCTAAACGCATACAATCTGGGATGCATATAATACAAGGTTGTTCAACAGCTTTTTTAGTGAGTTTGTGTGTTTTTTTCATCATCATTTGGGTTTGTTCCAATTTATTGCTTTCTTGAAAGTACATCTGCTACTTCTTTTAAGTACAAAATAATGATTTCTCATGTGAAATCAATTTGTATTTTGCTGTCCAAATAGCCCTGTGATAATTTTTGATGTTGTCTGATTTATGCCCTTTTACTTGCAGTTCCACCATCTCAGTTTTCAACTATTCTATATGTCCAATCAAAACCATAAAATGTCCTCTTTATAGTTTTCTTAGCTAGGATTTAATGTGAAATGTCTTATGAACCATCAACATATTAGAAACATTACTCTGTTGAATTATTTGTTCTGATTGCACGATTGATGAGTTGTGTTGTTTCTGTTATTCAAATGGATTTCCATGTTAGTCGCAGCTGTTTTATGGCCTACTTTAGAGAGTGAAGTTGTAGCCACTTTGAAATTATTTTCCTTATGAAAATAATATATCTTCTTCTGTAATAGTGTCTCACATTGTAAATATTGTAAATAATGTATTTTACAAATTTCTATGCTAATGGTTATTAGTTGTCATACATAAAAGGTTTTATTTTGGAACGGTACTAAAGTATTTAGGTCTATATGTTAAAATGGCCAACATATGTAAAATCATTTAATTATATAAAGTTATTCATATTTTCAAGTACTTCCTTGCAGATGAATTAGTAAAGCTTGGAATTACTGATGGTGTTAGAGGTGAGATTTGTTATTCCTAGCTTGTCTGCTGTGAGATGCTTAGGCTGTCATGCAATGAAGAATTTCTAATGCAATTTTGTTGAACCTTCTTTTTTACCAGAAGTGGATTTACAACACTCTTCTATCTGGATGGCTGGTGTGTACTTAATGCTACTAGTTCAATTTCTTGAAAACAAAGTGGCTATTGAACTCACACGAGCAGAATTTGTTGAAGCACAAGAGGTTGGTTATCTTCCTATGGTATATTTTGTCAGCACCAAGGATGAGAAGACATGATAGTTTGCATTTATTCCATACAATTTCAAAATCGCTACTGATAAATAATAATCCACCTTGTTAACTGGCTTGCTTCTGCTGATATTTTTCTTGTTCCTGTGGATTTATAAGGTGGTATTCCATTACATTCCGGAATTGAAATAGTTAATTAATACCACTGCAATTTTTCAGGCTTTGGTACAGATGAAAAATTGGTTCATGCGGTTTCCAACCATATTACAGGCGTGTGAATGCATCATTGAGATGCTTAGAGGTCAATATGCTCATTCAGTTGGCTGTTACAACGAAGCTGCTTTTCATTATATTGAGGCAGTGAAGGTATATATATATATGCATATGACATCTCTATAACATAGATGGGATATTTTAGTAGTGAACAAGATGTAGTTTCTGCAGTTTTGATAATTTTGACACATATATATGCTGATTTGGCATGCTACATATATATTAATGTTTTTGTCTGTAGGGCTTGTTATAAATTGTTGATGAAGATAACTTCATAGTATCCAAGCAATGACTATATATTTCTGTGTAGCTTACAGACAGCAAATCAATGCAAGCTATGTGCCAAGTTTATGCAGCTGTCTCTTACATCTGCATTGGTGATGCTGAATCTTCTTCACAGGTGGAGAAATGCTTCTAACACAAATTAAATTGGTTCTACATATTTTTGAAGTAGTTTAATTCCAGGAGATTTTTTATTGAATTATATTTTTCCCTCAGGCACTTGATTTGATCGGCCCAGTTTATGGAGTAATGGATTCTTTTGTAGGAGTTAGAGAAAAGACAGGTGTTCTTTTTGCTTATGGTCTTTTATTGATGAAGCAACAGGATCTACAAGAAGCAAGGTAAGTTTTTAAATAACTAATGGAATAACCTGCACAGATGTTGAGCTTACAATCTAGAGTTTAATGTATTTGTTTGTTATTTTTTAATTTAACAGTAAATTTGTTAGTACATATGTTTATAAAAATATTGACAACACCTTGAACTGGTAAATTACAATAAAAAATTAGCAATGAAGAAATATTTAATTTAGCTTATTTTAACTATGCATCCAAATTGGAAAAATGCACTTTACTTGCATTTATTTTATTCATTATTATAATTTTGTTATATATTAAGATCCCCGGTTGAACTATTGACTGGATTACTTCGTTGCGTCAGTTTTTGAAACATGGATATGGGAAGAATTACTATGCCTTTTGTTGGGTTTCATTCATATAAAAGAACCGGTGCTATCAGTTCTACACCTTAGTTGGTGGATGTTTCTTTAAATGATTATGTCATGTAATGTAACGGATTTGACTGTTAAATGGACCTCAAAAGTAAGTAATCTCCAGAATGGAATCTCACTTGCGACTGATCTCTTACCTCCATCTGACATATATAAATTCTACTTCTTCCTTTGTCTAAGTTGCAAATTTGTTGCAGAAATCGCCTGGCAAGGGGATTGCAGCTGACGCATACATATTTGGGAAACCTTCAACTTGTTTCACAGTATTTGACAATCCTAGGCAGTTTGGCCCTTGCATTACGTGACACCGTACAAGCCAGGGAGATATTGAGATCTTCTTTGACTTTAGCAAAGAAACTTTATGATATTCCTACTCAGATTTGGGTGCTATCTGTTTTGACCGGTACTTTTATCTTATCTAAGACTACCTAGTTTGTGAATGCAACAAATCTATTATGACTTTAAGTGCTCCCTAGTTGCATAATTTGTTGAGGAGTACTTAGATTACCATCTGTGTGTCATGCGTTTCTTGCTTATTTATTGTGCTCATTTTTGGTTTGAACTTTTTTATGATAAACCTTGTGTAGATTGGCTGGTATGTAACTGGGATAATAAATTAAATTGTTCAATTTCTGGCATGGTGTCGTGGCTTTATACGGTATATTTAATTGGAGGTTGCTGGTTCAAATCCTAGAATCAGTTTCTCCATTGGCAGGTGTATGGCTGTGCCCATCTTACCTTTCCCAAACCCCATCAAGTGGGAGCATCATGCACTAAGTGCTCTCCCACTTTCTATTTATATATTTATCATATCATCTCTCTCTCTCTATATATATAATATTGGAAGTCTTACATCGACTAGAGATAAGACCAATTTATAATATATATAAGTGGGTGCAAACCTCACCTTACAAGCCGGTTTTGTAGGGTTGAGTTAGACTTAAAGTCTACTTATCATGGTATCAGAGCTAGGTTAAAACCTCTTAGTGAGATTTGTGTGGACATATTGTTCCACATGCTATCGGGCCACTTTCGGACCACCCATTAATGTCTAGTCTCACATTAATATCCACTCGAGATGTATGTACCTCGGCGTGTGTGGAAGGTGTGTTGGAAGTCTCACATCGACTAGAGATACGATCCATTTATAATATATAAGTGGGTGCAACCTCACTTACAAGTCGGTTTTATAGGGTTGAGTTAGGCTTAAAATCTATTTTTTATCATATATATATATATATATATATTCCTGTTTTTAAGATGGTCGTCCTTAATTGTATGTATCTCAACGTTTCTTATTAGGTTTCTTTTATTTAAAAATGTTCAAATATACTTCCTGGTTCTTGTAGCTTTATATAAAGAATTAGGTGAAAGGGGAAACGAAATGGAGAATGTGGAGTATCAGGCAAAAAAAACAGAAGATTTGCAGAGGAGGCTTGCTGATGCACATGCCTCCATTTATCATATTGAAATAGTAAGTTCATCTCGACAAAGAATCGGTATGCGGTATGTCTTTTGGATTTAGTTATTTATTGTTTATTTCACCACATTGATCAACAGATTGACAAAATAAGACTTCAAGTCCACCAATTAAACGATTTGGACATCAAGCGTGCAATGACAGACCCAGCTCTGGGAGTCAATCTTGATATCCCAGAATCTATTGGTCTGTCGGCAGCCATGCCTGCTCCTTCATCGTCAAGATTTGTTGATATAGACACCAGAAGACGTGGAAAACGGAGACTTTAGTGTGTTCCTTGTGCAGGCAAAACCATTATAATTTTTGTGAATTAGTTGCAAGCTATTGGTCCAAGGTCCAAGTGGGTTGAAGAGTTTAGCAGATAGGGTTTCTAGCAAGCCCTCTTTTCACGCGCATCACTGTAAAAGATTCTGTACAGTTAATTAGAATGTTTTGCATAAGTTATAGATGGAATAGATATTAGAAGTTACCAATTAACATTTAGAATAGATGTTTATTTCTATTTTATTCTTTTTGTACCGAAAGAGAAAAAAAAAGTAGAATAGGTTTTTTAAGGCAGGTCCTTAGGATTGTGTTTGTTCAGCTGTTTATAGCATTTTTCAATTCAAAGAAGTCAGTATGCTTTCTTATTTGAAGATGTTATATGTAAATTAATTGTAATGGTTTTACTGAAATAGAAATTCATGTACACTACATCAAGATGAAATGTTTTGTTCTTTGTCAAAATTAATCATATCTACTTGTTTACAAAAGGAACTTCATTTGCTTTGGTCTTTTTGCAGTTGTTGTTCATGGTTATTCAGTACAGAATGTTCGAAGCTTAAATGTGTATATTTGATTGTTCGTATGTTGTAAAAATTGGCTTCAATTATCCACTTGGTCATCTCAGAGTGTGACAGTGCTTCTGACCTGCTATCTACTTTTGTGGGTTGTGGGAATACTACCTTGTTGTGGAGTGAGTTGACAATATTCTGGTGTTAAACTGGAGTAATAGTCATCGTTGTTAACAAAAGGCAAGCTAGACATTGAATTAGGAAAATTAGCTTTTGTAAAATGTGTGGAAAAAAAAGGACTAAGTTTCAAGGGACGTAACCGAACTGCAAGTGTATAGTTTGAGATTGTGCAATTTTTTTGAATGAGACAGGAAAATGTAATCTTATTTATCTGGTAATAATATTTTGCTTGGAAGTTTAATAATGTGTTATATTTTACTTGGAAGTTTAAAAATGTGTTATATTTATCTAAATTTGTTATGCCATGCTGTTTTTTTAGAAATGAAAGTTGTCCATAAAATAAATCTATAAATGTTATATGCATTCAATAAAAAAAAGTGTACAATGAGATCAATTAAATTATAATAAGAACTTAGATCCAAGTATTTATGACACCGTCATTATTTAACTTATATTTATAGTTTTTTAAAGTATAATTGTTTCAATATTAAACCTTAATTATACTTATTTAAGTAATGTATATGAAAATTATATCAGAGTTTGATTTTGCATTGAACATTTGAAGCAAAATAATAAAAGTAGTACTTCTCTAGAATATTTTTAAAAAATTATGAACTTACAAATATCTAAATTGTTATTTCTTGTAAAGAGTTATGTTTTTGTAAGAAAAAACTTAAATGAGTTTTAATTTATAAAATTGAAAGTAAGTCTTTTTAATCTAAATTTAAATTTAATAGTATAATAATTTGAAAAATAAATTATGTATTTGTCTTTTTTTACCCAAACAAGGTTAAAACTTCCCTAAGCTGAATGGATTACGATTTAAGTTACTTTTATTTTTATTCGTTACGAGACATCTTATATGAACATGTATATTTTTTTAGTTGTTCATTTGAATAAGACTAATATCTTGATTTGATGGTTCGAAACACTTTTTCCCTTGAAATTGTAAAAAAAAACCTCAAAATTAATTTTAAATTTAGAGGATAAAAGTATATATTTAAGTTTTTTTAAAATAACTTTTACATAAAATTTAGATAAATGAAAACCATGGTTTGTTGTAGATTACCCAAAAAGACTACTAGCTTGTGTTGAAATTAATTGAGATACCACAAATATTTTTAATTTTTTCATTAAATCGAATTTAGGTAAAACTAAAACCATATTTTTCCTCTTAAAAAAACATAATTTTTAAATTCTCTCCATGGTTTTCAGACTTTAAAGCGGAGAAACCTATAGCAATTGACTATGTTTCATTTTCCAGTTTATTCCGTGGGGGAATGAATGATGTGTGCACTAACTTCATACCAAAAATCTACACTTTCGAATCCTTATGTTTTTCAAATTCCTACAGGAATGTCTCCCCTTCCTTTTTCATCTAACATTCTTCTATTCGAATCCCATTAGGGTTTTCTCTGAACTTCCCAAATCGGTCAAACTCTAGAAAGTTCCGACCTTTGGTTTGGACCTATTTGCGGAAGGAAAGGAAACACAAACAAGCTTCAAACTTGTTCTAAAATGCTTGCTGCTGCTGCTTCAGCTTCTCGACACCTTCTTCAACGCGATGCCAGCATCGGTGCTTGCAGTGGCAGTGGCAATCGAGTTCGCTCTCTTTTTACAGTTTCTGTGATCTCCACAACCTACCCAAGTCGCACTAAAACATGTTATAGTCATGGTTATGGAATCAGTTTCAATACCCCTAAACACAGAGCGTGCCCAGGTTTGCTTTTTGCTGTAAAGGGGTTCCTTTCTGATTCATCAAATTCTAATTCTCCACATGGCAGAGTTTCCAGACCTCACTTACCACATCCTGTTAGTCCAATTACCTACTTTTTTCTTTGGGGGCAAAACTTGGTGCAGTTTCTTAGATGCTCTTGCTGCTGTTCTTCGATTATACTTGAAGTTTCACCTCATATGCATACTAAAGGATTACCTTAATGATCAACATTGGTTATCGAAGTGAAAATTCGATTTTGATTGGAGAGCACCACCAAAAGTATCTAAAAAAATGCATATAAGTTTTGTCGTTTTCCCTCTTGGTTCTCTTGAATGAATGCCTGTGATCAGTTATTGCATGACTTCGATACTGATCGTTGTTGTTGAATTGTGTGGATTAGAGTTCAAGTGTGGATGGGCGAGCATTGTTCTCAACTTCAGCTAAAGATGATGGAAGCCGAAGCCAAAAGGCTGCTTCTTCCACCATTCCTAAACCACCACCATCACTTCCTAATGGGCAAGTTGCTGATGTGAGGATCCTTCGCACACTTGCCAGTTACCTTTGGATGAAAGATAATCTTGAATTCCGGGTTCGGGTTATTGCCGCATTGGGCTTACTTATTGGGGCTAAGGTTCGTGACCTGGTTGCTTACTGTTCATGGTTTATGCTAGGGCTAACTTGCTTATGGTGATTAATGACACTTGCTTTTTGTTGGAACTTTGTGTTCAGGTTTTGAATGTTCAGGTCCCGTTCTTGTTCAAGCTTGCAGTTGATTCGTTGACGACGGCTTCGGGGAATGCTGCTGCTCTTGCTTCGAGTTCAAGTGGGTCGGCTCTTTTTGCAACCCCAGTGGCAGTGTTGGTTGGATATGGGATTGCGCGTTCAGGAGCTTCTGCTTTCAACGGTATTTATGCACTTGTTTTATCTTCCTTCTAAACCTGCTCTTATCTATGAGAGTGGCATTGGCATGCTTTACAATTCTAAATTCGTAAGTCTAGGATTCTCAAACGAAACAACTTTTTTAAGTTATGGTTTATGCTGGTTGGACTTGGAGCTATATTTATGTTAGAGAGGTAACTAGATTAGGAGCGAGGAGGTATATCCTTATGATAGCCGAAATGAGCTTATCTAAAGCACAAAAGCAAACTTAAAACTGGTGAATAGGAGTAGAGCAGGGTTGCCCAATCCGTCTGCATATTGACAAGGAAAAATCAATACCGGAGAGAGTTTGATAACATATCCCCATCCCAAAGCAAATTGAGGGGAAAATTTGAAACAGCTATATGCACTTTTAGAGATGCTGATCTCTTAGCAAATTGAATATTAAGTACAACCCCACAAGAATAACTAATACAATTCTCATTTGATAATAACTATATTTTAACCCAGGCAATGCTCATATTATTATTAAGTTTGCACATACCACATGATTAGAAAACTCCAGCGTAAATCCTTAAACCTCATCCTTTCTTCTTCAAATCCAATTTTTGTAATGGTGCCGACCCTTTATGCTGATTAATCTGAATATTTTCCATTTAAGTGAAGGGTGAAGCCCTGATCAGAGGCCTATGTCCCTCCATCTCTCTCTCTCTCTCTCTCTCTGTCTCTTTCTCTCTCTCTTCCAGGCCTATGCCGTGGT